GGGTGACCAGCTTGAGGTGTTGGACGTGGCTGAATCGAGGTATGGGTTGACGATGGCATTTGTGAATGTGCTGGTTTGTTCGTCCGGTGCAACGCTGGCGATGTCGCCGCAGAATTCGGCGACGGTCTCAAGCAGCTCCAAAGAGAGCTCCTGAAGTGTCATTTTTGGTGAAGCCAATCGATGCCGTTCAAGGGGCGCCGATGAAGGGGAGCTTGGAAATGGCAGTTATGATACCAATACTGGTAGCGGGTGGTTTGCCTCTGGGGATTTTGTTGGTCGTGAACCGTTCGACAGGCTGTCCGAGAAGGAAGATTAGTAATCTGTGGGCAGAATGTTGCCTTCTAAGTAAGAGGTAACTTACCTGGATGGCCAATAGGTAAGTTGTGACGATCCAAATTGTGATAGAGATCAACTCAATGATGGGTGTTAAGTTGGCGGGACGAGCTTGAGAATTGTCGGTACGGTTTTTGTTGGTTGATAAGTCGGTGCAGGGAATAAGGGCGCCTTCGAGACGGTATTGGAAAACGACACTTGCGTTGCGCGATTGGTAATTGTGATTATGGGAGTAAGTCAAATACTATGCGTTCCTCGGTGCAGTCGAGGTTGGAGTGTTGTTTTGTTCCAGGGAGAAAATTGGTGGAGGCTAGAGCAAGGGAGGATTAAATACCTAGTCAGGGTGCTATCAGTTTTGGTTGAAGGGTGAGTGAACCTTCAATGCAGTGGTGAGGGTTCGGGAGTAAATGGCGTGCGGAGTGAATTGGTCGGAGAGTGAATGAGTCCCGGACTCCATGGACCCGGTCCCGCCCCGGCACGGCCGGCCCGTGCGCGGCAGCAAACCTTCACGGACACTGGCTCATATCTACACCAAAACTAAAGCAATCATGCTGCAATTAAATATCAACGTCTTTTCACTGCTGAAGCCGTATAGGAAACTTCCCCGTGTCAATTGGACTCCCAACTCCGTTTGTGATGCCTTGACGCCCATATCTCAACAAGATTCCGAATACTGTGTTTTTCAGCCAAAGTGTATGGGATAAATGTTCACGAACGACGACGAAACAGGCGGTGGGTACACAATTTTACCAAGTGAGTAATTGAATTCTTCTACACGCAGTGGAGGAAGCAGTCCAACTATTGAAACAGATAACCATATGAGAACCGTAACCACCTCATGGAAAGAAACCTCGTTGAATCATGGTGAGGGCTCCATGAACATACCACCTTCCCCTAATAAACTGACATTTTGTAGCTTCTAGGCCCAGTAAGTAAGGTAGAATTGGAACATGCTCTCATTGAAGTTCTCTCCACCAATTCATCCAGTATAATCCCCGCCTGGTCCTACAGCGTCCTTAACATGAAACCATGTCCGTGAATTCACTAGTAGTTGTATCCAACAACAATCCACTCGTCCTCCGTTCCATCCTCACCACTGCCGCCCTGGAGCATCTCTATGACCATCAACTCCAGGTTCTTCAAACGCAGGAGGAAGTGTAGTCCGCATGAAATACGTACAATCATCCTGGCCGGGGGGAGGACCGAACTCTTGGCCCGTTTTCTTTCTTTCTATGAAAGGTATGGCCAATATTCGTCTGCGTTCTATACACGTATACTCCACATCAATATAGTAGTTTAGCTGGTTAAGACAGAGTGTGCCCTTCCTGTCCCTAGTAGATAATCGCTTATCCCTGCCTGACAAACTGTTTCAAGCGCAGCAATAAGCGCCTTTCTCCATTTAACTCTCTAGAACTCTCTTCCTAATTCAACTTCTACCCACCCACACCGTCTCAAACCGTTTCTGAACTCTCCATCTCCACCACCTCGCCCTTCCTCTGAAACCCAACCATCCTCCACGTCACCTCCCACACATCTTCCTCCTGCAACAAAAAGACTTGGCACCAAGTGTTAGTGTTAACGCTAGGTTGCCCGCAAAACTACTAACACCACCAAAAATCGCCGTTTTTACGGTCGATATCACAACAACCGCAACGACGAAATGTCTAAACCTCCGCCCTCCGAGGCCCCCAAACCGCCGCCGCTGGCCATAATACCGGTTATCCCCC